GTTCAGCCTCCAGAAGAGAAGGCTGAGGGGGGATCTAGTGGGCTGTTACAAACTAGTCAGGGGGGATCAGCAGGCACTGGGGAAGTCCCTGTTCCCCAGAGCACTACCAGGAGTGACCAGGAATAACAGTCACAAGCTGGCAGAGGGTAGATTTATGCTAAATATGAGGAGGCGCTACTTCACTGTCAGGGCGGCTAGGATCTGGAACCAACTTCCAAGCGAAGTGGTGCTGGCTCCTACCCTGGGGGTCTTTAAGACCCCTTGCTGGGGTTGTTTGACCCCAGTACTCTTTCCTGCCATGGCAGGGGGTCGGACTCGATGATCTGCTCAGGTCCCTTCCGACCCTAGAAACTATGAAACCAATTTTTTTCTTCATATTAAGACAGTGGCCTGAAATTCATAACCCGTGGGAACTTACCCTTGTTTTCATTTACTTACAGCCATCACCTGGAACTTTTCAAACAATTTAGCTTGAAGGCATTAATGGGAGAAGATTGGAGGCAGCCTGAATCCGATCTCTGGATGTCATGCAAACATACTGATTAGCAAAGCAGGATGAGAAATTAAATCTTTACTCTGATTAGTGGGGAATGAAGCTGTAGGGCCTTATCTCTTCAGCTAAATTTCAGTGGTAAGAATTCGAGTGTGTTACTAAAATGAATCATGTTTAACTTCTCTTTTTTTTTTTATCTTTGGCCACTTTCAGCTTAGCTTTTTAGCTTCAGGCCTACTCAGGTGAGCCCTTCACAGGGCTCCATTTCCAGTTTCCTTTCCACCAGCCTGCCATTATCTTAGCCCAGAGTTGACTGCTGATCATCTCCTAAACATTTTAGGACAGAAGAAGCAAGTATGATCATCCAACTTTCTGTATAACATGGCTGTTACATAGGCCAGAGGTATCTTTATTTTCTTGTTTCCACATCAGTTCCATAACTTCTGTTTGACTTGTAGTATGTCTCTTAAAATAAATAATTAAATAAAAAAAAATTAATATTGATTTTAAGACTTCATGTTGGAGATGCTCCACTTTCAAGGTAAGGTTCCCTTACCCCTCTTGACTTAAATAGTACTCATTTAATGATTGGTACCTCACTTCACGATATTTGTCTATTCAGCGTCTAATTATTGTATCCCATTCTGTCTTTTTGTAATAGATTAAAGATCTATTTCTTGCAAGAAATTGCCACCTCCTTTTCTTTTTGTTCATGTTCTTGAGGATTGTAGCTCCATGACCTAGGAAAATAACTAATGTTAGTAGCATTCCCCTAGACCTCTGCTGAGTGTCTACTCAGCATATGACACCAACTGTTGTTGACTTTCTAAATGATGTAGGGCAAGTCTCTGGAGTGTCCTCTTCCTCATTTTACTTATCTACTCTCCACTGTTCCTTGAGGAGGTATGGATGAAAACTTTATTCCTGTTTTTATACTGTCAGTCTCTGTTATCTGAACACTGTGTGGATCTTGGCCAGTTCCTGTTGATAGAAAGAATGGAGAATGTGTGTATACAGTTTTAATGGGCGTGCAGTTGTATTGAATTTATAAAAATTCTCACTTATATCACTTTCAAACACAAAGGGGAAAATTTCTTATACTTTGTTTATTATAAGGCAAATACAAGAATTTGCACCTCTACCTTGTACCAAAAAGGCTCTACTTTGTCAAATACTGTTGACTGTGGTTAAAAAGATAACTGCTCTCAAGTCGGGAAGAAATGTACTATATATCTGCAGACATGCTTTATGGAGGCCAAAAGAACACATCCTACTTCATATGCATAGAAGGGAGCATAGTAACTGCACTCCTCCAGCACAATACAGTACCCATGTTACATGCTGTTGTGCCTGTCTAGTCTCTTGCCTCCATGGAATTTCATTTGTAGACTGAATCTTTCAGTATTATTGCTATTTTTTTCTTTGGCGTCTGACTCAAGAAACCTTGCCAGGTTGCTTCTATAACTATTTGGGTTCTGGCCAGCTCCCCACTGCATACTATCACTGCTAGATTTTAATATTTGTGGCATCCAAAGATGCAGGTATATGCTTTTAAGAATAGCTAACTAAAATATTTTAGATGTTTATCTCCCAAAATTTAGATCCTCGATCCATGTTCAGTTGCTGTCTAATGCTGGAAGCTCTTAAAAGCCCCTGAGTGCCTGCATTTCTGCTTTAGGCTTGAATCTTGAGTGCTGAGCAGCTAGGCATCTAACTGACACTTAACTATTTGTATTCCTAAACTGGGAATAAACCAAAAGGTTTATTTAATCTCTGGAGCAGAATACGGTAGGTTTTCTCAGAGATGTCTACTGTATCAGTCATTGCACAAGACAGCCAGGGGAAAAGGTGTCCCCACGCCTTCCTCACCTCACCCTTTCCTAATTAGCCTAAAAGTTGGAGCACTTGCCCAGATTTGAGAGTGACCTGGATAATTCCTCTTTCTGCTTGACAGAAATGAGGAGATTTAACTGAAGGACTCTCCCAGTTCAGTAACTTGGCCAAGAGTGGATTTGTATGAGGGGAAAAAATAATACCCTAAGCAGTTTTTCGTAATGGTCTGAAGCAAAGTGATCTTCCATGGTCTCTGGCTCTTTGTCAGGAGAATGTTTTGAAGTTAAAGTGCTTAAGTCAATCCTGAGGACATGGATGAGAGTCCCCAGTGAAGGGATAATCCAGTAGTCTAAAGGTAGGTCTGTTTTGAGGGGATAAAAGACTGTAACATCTATTCCACCAACATTTCACACTGGCTAGTTTAGGTGATTTTCGTGGATCTCATTCTTGGGCATCTCGTATTTTTTTCAGGAATGTCATTTAAGATAAGAGGATCTTGTCCAGTGTAGCTAAGCTGGATCAGCCTCAATATGACTGCTTTTTTAAAATTGGACACTACAGATTCCTTGCTGTGAATTGCCACCTGTTGAAAGTTTACAAGCACTGTACATATAGTTGCAGGGGGTGGTGGAGGGTTTGCACCTACAGTACTTGCACACTTTTCCAAAAATAAACTCTAGTACAAGATCATGGATTTTTATCCAGTAAACATAAGTAACAAATCTGGATGAGTTTCTGTCTGAAAGCTGTGTTACTCTGTTAAATTTCACAGGTCCCCTTCCCCCCCCCCACACTTGCATGCTGCTATTTCATGTGTGAACTCCTTAGTGTTTACTCAGGTTGAGCATTTTGAGTGCAAAGAGAATGCAGTAGTTCAAAACAGTTTCCTGCTTGTACAGGTTTTCTCTTCTCACACTTGGCTGATTTATTTTATGTTTAAAGGTACAATAAATCGTCCTGTTTCCTCAGGTGGTTTTTACCTGTTCAGATTTTGATCTTTGTAGAGCCAATTCTGGCCTTGGGTACATCTGCTGGACTCTATCGGAGGGCAGTGGCCTAATGTATTAAACATGCTGGATATTTCTGAAAATACAGATTATCGTACATTAACTATGCTGCACTTAATGGTCAACAGTAGCAGAGGATTCAGCCACTGAATTTTGTGTATTATAAGCCACCGCAGCCTGGTGAGAGAGCAAGCACTGTCCTTCAGTTTTAGAATCTCTGAATTGAACAATTCTTGAGTACAGGCCCTCTGTCTAATAACACTTTCTTGAGGGTTAGAACCTACAGACCAAATTCACTTCCCTGGGATGTAGTCCTGGCTCCTCAGATTGTTATCTGTAACGCACCCTCGCCAGGTCTCTTGCAAAATATGTGAGCTTCTTGTTTACAGCTCTTTAAGTGCATAGGACACACGTATTAGTTGTAAGCAAACACAGATACAGGTAGGTTTTTCCATACTGCTTCTACACCTCATTCCTTTTAGTGAAAAAATAGGAGTGTTTGGATTAGTAAGTTTTCTAAACACAATGCACCCCTATTTTCTATCTGGCTCACGCTTCTGTGAGAAGTGCTGGGGTGCCCATCTGTAGGGCAACAAGCAGGTAGCTTATGATTTAGTCATTTTCTGATGATGGGTCCTGCAGCTTCATTAGGTTCCCTACCCCAATATAGAAGCCAGCACAAGCACTTATACACATGTAGCTTTGGGTAACAGAATACCTTAGTTTTCCCTAGCAAGACCTTTTTTTAAACTTGTCCTATTGCTCCACCATCCTACCCGCTACAGACGAATGTAGTAAAATTGATTTACTTGCAGCAGGGCTCTAATCTATTGTCCTGGGTCCTGCCTTGATAGCTGCCTGTTAAGCATCATCCCTTATATTGGCAAGAATGTGACCCAAACCTGCCACCCCTGAGTGGGTATACACTGAAGCAACCAGTTTTGCTGAACTCTTCATGGGGACTATTTCATACTGTTACCTAGAATTCATAGGTTCCACAGATAAATTTTCCAGTGTGTCACCATATATCTTACATGGAGAATATTGGATTTGCTAAATTGCAGAACTCTGTCTAAAACAGCACATACATGCCCGTGACCATTTCAGCTAGACTGCCCACTAATCCGTCTCTGGGGACTTAAACATTTCAACCTGGCAACATTGTTAAACAGGCACTGTTTTTCAAAGCAGCCTGCTTGACAAATATTTCCTATGGGCAATTTTTAGTCCTATGCCACTTACAAATTGTAGCATACTGAATCTGATAAAACTGTAAACTTGTAAGATTTTTATTTCTTTGGAAAAGACATATTCCCGATGGGGACACACCACCTGATATTTATGAGCTCTACAAGTGCTCAAAATTGCTAGGCTTGTTTTGTTTATTTTTAAGTGTGGTACTTTATTCATGTGTAAAAACAGCCTCAGTAATTTTTTGGCAGTGTTTTACAACACTACAGCCAAGTTTCTTCTCCCTTTAGCCACTTGGAGAGAATTGTGGTAGCTAAATGCATAACCCTGCCTCTTGATTTCCATAATAAAACTCCTACTTTAGGAGTGAACTTGGGAATCATAAGTTTTTACAGATGAAACTATTTAAACTCCCTAAAGCTGTTTAAAATTCTTAACAGGTCCTAAACTTTTGCAACATATGGCTTATATAGGATACACCTTGTTTAATGATGGCTAATAAAGGTTTTATTAATACTTCTTTGGATATGATATACATAATTCACTTGTGGCTTCATAACTTGTGAATAAAGCAGCTATCAATGAATGACAATAAAACTCATAAAACAACTTCACTATGCATTTTCTCTTTTATGTGTGGATATTTTATGTGCAGTGAGCCCACAGAATTGGGTCCACACTGTTACCTTAGTGGAAAACAGCTATCCGAATTTGTTAATTCCTCCAACCCATCTGTTTCCACCAACTCTTTATGAGACTTATCAAGGTCTGATTTAAAATAAGAAAGTGATTTGGATTTTTAGTTATTACAAAAAGTTTCATGTTTCTGTAGCTGCAGACTGTCAAGGCCAAAGCTCTGCAATCAGTGGGAAGATTGTTTCATGAAGCCTAAAATCTCTGTAATGCTAACCTAGAAAGCAACTTGATGTAAATGACCCACCTCTGTAATCTGCTCAAGGTCTTGTTTATACAATACTATTTTTGTTGTTTCTTTAGCTGCAGTCTTTTCTTTCCTGTTTTTTATTCCAATTATACCTTGATGAATCTTATAAGAAAGTGGTTCTTGTGCTGGTACTAAATTGGTGTTACTTTTAGCAAACTACTGCATGCTGCTTTTTGGGAATGTCTTATGTGCTTTTTCCACACAATAGTGGAAAAAGACAATAGATAGTCTATTTCTATCCTCCATATAACCACTGTTCAGGTATTATGGTGCTGTTTTCCCAATTTTTCTTTAAATGTATTCCTTTGAGGTACCTAAACTGATAATTGATATATTGGTATTGATTTTTATGCCACTAATGATCTTAAATTACTTGTTTGGTATAATTATTTTAAGAACAACACACAAATAATATTATTCAATTTGCAAGCCAGGTGCTAGATGTTATATAAAACATCTATAAATCTCAGTCTATCTAGAGCACCTCGGGACCTGATTTATGCTCACACAAGCTAGCATTTGTTGATGTAATCTCATTAACTTTAGTGGAATTACTCCTCTACGGTGCTTGGAGTGTGCTCTAATAAGACCTACACCAAAGATCATTATCAATAGGCAGCCACCTGCCTATGTGAGTGGTTTCATAGCATCTGATGAAGTAGGATGTCACCTACAAAAGCTTATGTCTCTCTGAACCTGTTAGTCTCTGGGGTGCCTTCTGCCTGACTTCAGGCTAACACAGCTAACTACCTGTCATTTGCCTTCCTGATCTGGTAAAGCCTGCAGTACAGTTTTAAAACAACTAGTAAAAGAAAAGCTTGGTATTAAGTAACTGATATTTCAGTTCCTAGGATGATTATCTAATGCAGGTTTCACTGTTTATGTTGACAACCAATTGAATTAAGTGAATAACTTGTACTTCATGTTTTATGCTATCACCACTGTGATTAAGGAAATTGTTGAACATATCCAGATGAATTGCCACCTGTAACCTACAGTGCAGAGCACTGATCTGTAACCATAGTCAATTATTAAACACTGCCAAGGAGAGTAAATGTCATTAATCACTATTTAAATAGTAGACATCAGAAATGTGGTGCAGCTATAACTTGGCTGTTGTAACAGGAATTAGAGTATAAATGTGACAAACTTTTATATTGGTTTAAATCCTTCAAAAATGGCTCTGTGGATTCTAGTTTTCATTGCAGGGTGCATTGCTGATCCAGGGCTTCATGTTGCAAAGAGCAGGTACTGGACATGTTTTTCTTATTACAAGTTACAGTTGGAAAATGCCTGATTTATCTTTTTATCTACTTTTTCTTTGACTGCTAATACCTTTACTACAATAAACTACATTTTAAATGATTGAGAGGGACTAAGATTTACATGTTAATACCTTTTTTACATTAAGTTTAAAAATTGGAGTAAATTGAAGGTCTGTATATGTGTATGTATATGTGTGTGTGTGTGTGTGTGTGTGTGTGTGTATGTGTAAATATATATATGTGTGTATGTATGTATGTGTGTGTATATGTATATATAAAATATGCGCTAGGGTGATGAAGAGCAAAGGAGAGCTGTGAGCCATTGCAGTATGAACAGCCACTGTCTCACAGAGGTATAACTTCCTGTTCTTTCAGTCAGAAGAAACTGTACACAGTACAGAGGGAAAAAGCACAAGGCTGCCAAAAGGCCAGTTATATGCCCACAGTTTCAAAGGAGTGATCTTAGCAGGTAGGAGAAAAATATTAGTGAAGAAATGGCAGCCTCAGGAGCAAAAGCTTGATGAACACAAAGTAGCCTACTGTTGTATCAAAAGCTTAGGGATGAAGAAGGATGAAAACTGGAAATAGGAAGGGAATAATGTATACACGGACTTGACTTCCACTTGTGATCTTCAAAACAACATCTTTCCATTTTTTTTCTTCTTCAGAAGTATCAGGCCTGATGGAAGAGTGGCATTTTGGACACTTTGTAGCCTTGGTGTTGCTTGACTTGACAGTTCCTAATAACTTTTTTCCTCTTGCACAATGCCTAAACCTTGCTTTGTATGGTCCTTCCACCATAGCAAGATTCCTAGGAGCAGTAATTAAGATGAGAATTGATTTTAATATCCCATTCATACTCATATTCTATCCTCCTAACATCCCCAGCTGCAGGTCAGCAGATGCCACAGGACTACCATTCTTAGTTCTTAGCATGGTTGTGTCTGTGTGACAGATTTGAAGACTGAATAGATTCTTAAGCAATCTCAGTAAAATTTTGTATAAATACTACTTTTTCAGAACCACTCAGGATAACTCGGCGACTGAGAATGAGGCATTGGATAGTGACAATTTCATATACAGGCATACCTCGGAGATATTGCGGGTTCGGTTCCAGACCACTGCAATAAAGTGAATATCGCAATAAAGTGAGTCACACGAATTTTTTGGTTTCCCAGTGCATATAAAAGTTATGTTTACACTATCCTGTAGTCTATTAAGTGTGCAATAGCATTATGTCTAAAAAACAATGTACATACCTTAATTAAAAAATACTTTATTGCTAAAAAATGCTAACCATCATCTGAGCCTTCAGCGAGTCATAATCTTTTTGCTGGTGGAGGGTCTTGCCTCGATGTTGATGGCTGCTGACTGATCGGGGTGGTGGTTGCTGAAGTTTGGGGTGGCTGTGGCAATTTCTTAAAATAAGACAACAATGAAGGTTGCCAGAAACCTTCAATTTGTAAAAAAAAGCAATATCTGCGAAGCGCAATAAAGCGAAGCGCAATAAAACGAGGTATGCCTGTATAGGAAATTATTAGACTCACTAGTAGGAAAAAGCAATGAATGAATGACATACTTGCAAAACAAAAATTCAACTTGTTTCAACAGCTTTTGTATTTTATTGTATGCGCTTTTCTAATTTCTTGTAAAGGCATATATATATCACCCTTATAAACTCATACATAAAATTTAAGTTTTCTGCTTTACTCACCCACTCATTGTCACATCAGTAAGTCTTTGGAGCTGGCATTTAGAAACATCTTTTGACTAGATTCCCATAGATCTTGTTTTGGTTTTCTTTTACTACTTTTTGCCACTAGATGGAAGAAGAAGGTTATCAAAATGATGCCTTCATGCTACCAACCCAGTTATTTTCCTCCAGGCCCACTGCCTAAACTGTTTCTAAAATAAAGACTCTCAAAAATTTCAATTTTTGTAAACCATATTTTTATTGCTTTTTTAAATTTGTCAGCTGTCTTTTATATTGGCAGAAATAGCAAATTATGCTGTACCATTATCTATATCCAGTTGTTATCTTTTGTGTACTTGTTTTTCTTCAAATAGAAACATTTTAAGGTGTGATCGAGAGAGAAAATCACTGGAGGATGAAACAAACAAAGTAAGTGCCAGTTTGTAAGAGTTATGATGCACAAAGTCTTGTAACATAAGGTTGTTTTAAATATCCTGTTTTTCAGAGTTCTAATGTCATCTGATCTGCACTTTCCAAACAACCTATAATGCCTTAAATACCTTTGAAGTGAGAGTTGCTTGTGTTAATGGCAAACATATATACCAGGATGGCTCCTGCCTCCCTTGCTTCCTCTTCTCTTCCCCCGCCCCCCCATTTTTTTGCTTTGAATTCTGAAGCAGACAAATTGGATGCAAAAAAACTGCAAGCAGGAGATCTGGATGATCACAGGAACATTTTTGTTTGATTTACCTAATTTCTATGTTAAAGATTAAGACTGTACTGTGTAAAAGTTTGGTGGGACATAGCATATAGAGCTCAAGAAATCAGTCAGCTTACTTAAATGCAGGCAAGTAGCTCTTTACATTATGTAGCCTTTTAATTATGATATATAAACCTGACCTTCATCTGATTTGCATCTAGTTGAGATGGGAAGTCAGTTATCTAGCATTTGCAGTGCAATCTGTTACAGTGGGGGGAAAAACAAACAGCATGAATCCTTTTTCAAAATAAAAAGACATCCTTTGGCATCTTTAAAGGCTGAGAAAAGAGCTGCTTTATTTTGCTCTTCAATTCATCTTATATTTTGAGAAACCCAAGCTTTCAGCAAGCAAGTATACAAAATACCATTTTCAATGGATCCTGCCTCAGTGGGAGTCTTTGTGCAATGGCTTCTGGGGTCTTGGATCAAGTTCTTTTATTAGCAAACTAAAACATCTTAAAGAATTTCTATAACTCCATGCATGCAGTATAGCTTTTTTTTAAAAAAAGAGAGTATAAATTAATTTTTATAAACTAGGTAAAATCCTCGTCCTCATTTTTCACTCCTTTATGCCAGTTAGAAGAATTTGATTCGTATAAAGTAGGTCCTAAAAGTTCTATCCAGTCAGATTAAGATTTCATTGGAAGGTCCCTTTCCAAGGCCTGATTATAATAGGTACCTGAAGAGGCCATTGTAATTTAAACTGCCTTTCTTCCAACCTATCTTCATTACAATGGGGGTCTCATCATTGTCCCCCAGGACTGGGAAAAAGAGCATAATTTTTAAGTCACTATGGCTATATGTCCTTTAACCTGAGAGTTCCTTTTTTGCCTTAAGAAAGTCACAGCACAGAATTTCACTTTTGGTGCACTTCCAGTCCTGTCATATAAATATGCACAAAGCAATTGTTAATATACTGCATACACAATGTACAATCATTGCTCTCCATCACAATGTCAGCTCCATTTCTAAGGTATACTTTACTAAAGTTAATTACAATGCATTCATCATCATATTATTGACATTTGATAACCTATATTTTATTTACTGATAATTTTCTCCTTTCCCATTTAGTAAATGCATTATTTTATTGTGTTCCTGAATATTGACTCGACAAATGCACTGGGGGATGCTTTAAGACTGATTCTGGAAGACTTATTTATGTTGGTTAGAATTCAAACATGTAAACAGTCCCAGGAAGGTCAAATGGCCTTATTTTCAGTCGGCACTGACATAGATCCTACATGGGAATCAGATGCTTAAAACCTCAGTTTTCCAAGAGAGCTATACTGATAACTAATCAAAAACTATAATGTGGTGGTGAACGTGTTTAGTCCAGCACCTTAGGGGCATAAACAAACCTGCATGTTAGGCTCCTCTTACCCTTACATGATTTAAATCTGGATCTCCCACTCTTCTGGAAGGGAGAACCTTTACCACGAGGCTGTAGAATTGGTTACATGAGAGCGCTCACTTCACCTTGCCTGGTCCCCTGGGCACAAGCAAGCAGGAATTAATGGGCTGGAAGGGAAACACACAAAAAGCAGTCTGCTTTTGTAGCCCACAGGTTAGGGCACTGCCTTGGAAAGAGGGGAGCTCTAGATGAAGGTCTCTGCTACCAGGATTACTTATGGTTTCCAATTACTACCTGTGTAATGTACAGTTCATTAAGTGTTTAGGGAGCAGGAGGTAGAATGTGTGGCACTGGCTCCCAGGAGAATGCCCTACTGCCACCAATGGCAGATCTCCTTTTGCTTGCTCCTAGGCAAGTGCTTTAACCGCAGGACTATTGGCAAATGGAGGTGAGAAGATTTTGAATCACTGACCTTCAGAAACTTACCATGTGGCTACCTTCAGTAGTGGATGTTTGTGTTATGCATTGTGGAGACAACTTACGAGTAGCTCAAGTAGGGACAGAAGAAAGCAAAGGGGACAGAAGTTTAAACTTACCCCTATGCTTTAGAGGTTCCTATTAAGCACTTTCAAGTATCTCCAGCTTTTTTTGAATAGCACTTGGAAGGCTTTGAATACTTCCCACTTTCTGTATAGAGTGCCTGGGCACATAAACCTCTTAGCCCTATTTTTTAAATCTCTCCTTTGACTCTAAGGAATCCTAAGCACCTAGGATTTTGAATTGGCCTCCAAGACGGTGACTATTTGAACTTGCCCCAGTGTGTCCTATTACAAGAGTAAGGTTAGAACAACCAGGCCCTCTGTGTTGGTATTATAGTATTTTAATAATATTCTTAATTATATTATTAAACAGCATCTTCTGAAGAATTTACAGATATAGAGACTTGGTCCCGTAGTAGCAAAGCTATGTATGTTTCATGAGTTGTTTTTCTTTTGCTAAAAAACATGTCTAGCTGCAGTTGCTGTACTGAACAGGAATGTCAAATAGGTAATATTTATGGTTATATTAGGTATGATTATGTCAAATTTCAGGATGTTTTGGAGCTAAAGTAATACATGATATTACATGTCTGAGTGTATAGTATATTCCCCAGTACATTGAGAGTACATCGACACAAGAAAAAAGTTGCATTATTAAGACTGGTTCACAAACTGGGTATAGCTAACGCTGGTTAAAATAGCAGTAAAAATCCTCATTTCCCATACAAGTTTGAACTCAAATAGGAAATCCTGTAAATAAAAGATATCTTTTGTTTTCATTGCTGCTTTGACTGAGTTAGTTAATTCATCTTAGCCAACCTGCATTAAGAACATACATTTTTTTTGCAGCATGGATATATCCAAAAACACCTTTGAAGGAATTTTCAGTTGGAATATATTAGGAATATAGAATTTGCATTTGTGAATCAGATCATTACAATGTTTATCTAATATCCTGCCTTGAGCAGTACCCCAATCTCTTAGTTCAGTGGCTGGTAACTCTCTCCTGTATTATGCACTTTGCCAAGTATACAGTGTTATGCATCAGGAAAAGATTTATTTCCAAAACTATGCTGCAGGTAACAAGTTTACACTTTGATACAAATGGTAGTTGTCATTAAATTACCCATTTCTTTAATTCTAGGCATGGTATTTGTGGCCTCTAAGAGTTAGCTATATGTCTTTGCAAATAGCATTTTCTTTCTCTTCAATATTTTATAGACATTCTAGACAGTGATCACTGTAGTTAAGGTTCTCTGGCAATTTCAATAATTAGATTGTGTTTTAGTTGCCTATTACTTTAACAGTTTGGGAAGTAGTTTCTGTACGAGGTTTCTACTTTAGGCTGATTTTCTTTTTTTTTCTTTTTCTTTTTTCTTTCAGCAAAAACAGTTCAGTTCTTTCCAAGAATGAGGTACCACTTTAACTCTTTTAAACTGTTCTGTTGACAAATTCTTATGTTTCAATGTTTTGGAACAAAGACCTGAGATTCAGTGGGAGTCATCTTATTATTAGTCCTCTCCCTTTTGCAGTCCCCATGAAAATCTGACCAAACTTGGCCAAGTAACAGGCTCCCAAAAATCTCAGTTTGCACATCCTCAATAAGGACTTGTGGAGTTTGGCCAATAATGTATCTGAAGATATTGCTTGTTCTGGGTTGTCTCCCACTGTGCAACAGAACCGAGAGCATGAAGATTGGCCTTCCTTTACTGTAAATGCTGTATCTCCCAGTACCAAAGTAGCGGGGAACAGGAGGAAACTCCTTTGCTTAAATTCAGAAGGGTGGAAAGGTGGGCATGAGGCATGCCACAGTGTGGGATTAGGACATAACGCTAAGGATGTTTAGCGAGGGAAAGATTGAGATTCAGATATGTAGGTTAGAGACTGACCTGAAGTGAAAAGTTAAATGGAGGAAAGATAGCAGGGCAGGATGTTCAGGGATATTTAAAATTAACTGGATTGAGGAGCTAAGGACTTGATGGTGGAGGCGGCCAAGAATTTCCTGAAGTCAGGATGTTGACTTCAATTTAATTTAGCAAAATAATGGCTGAGAGGGGATATAACTGCTGTTTCTAAGTTCATCTGGGAAGTAAAAATAAGGGAGTGTTAAGGATGATGTTGCTACTAGATCAAACAGGCACAAACTGGCCATGATTAATTCAAACTGGATATTAGAAGATGAGTCCTAGCCATTAGAGTAGGGATGGACAATTATTTTGGGCAAAGGGCTGCTTACTGAGTTTTGGCAAGCCATCAAGGGCTGCATGACAGGCAGCCCAGGGCAGGTATATATTAATTTTCTAAACTGTTTAGGGGCCCCGCGGGCCAGATAGAATGGCCTGGCAGGCCACATCTGGCTCCCGAGCCACATTTTGCCCAACCCTGCATTAGAGCTTTCCAGTGAGAGTACTGCAGGGGAAAGAGCCTAACTGATTTTAAGGTGGAGTTTAATAATTATGAAGGGGTTGATATGACGTGAGGCCTGCAGTAAGAGAGAGCTAGACTCAGTGATCAAAATAGTCCTTTCTAATCTTCTGTTTCTTATTTACTGCACACTAACTATGCTCTTAGTATAGAATTATTAATTTTTAGGAGCTCTTCCGAAATCTTTGTTGTTACTGTATCTGAATGCTTCACAAATTTTTTTTTGTGATAACATCCCTGTGGGTGTTATGGCATTATTATCACTGTTTTTCAGATGGAAAACAGATGCATCAGGGTTGTCAGAAGCATTCACTAATTTTGGAACCCCAATAAGAGATGCTCATCTTCGGCC